TCGGACCGATATCTACGCCAGTCCTCGAAGATGTCTTTGACGGCTGTGACGCCCAACACGAAGATTAGTGGAAGTAATTGCACTTCTTTTCCAAACGCACTGATTCCTGACATTCAATGAGACAATCGGTGGTTAAGAGACTTTCACAGAGAGTATGAGATCCCTTGAGATCTATTGGACACATACCAGGGATCCAATTGAGGACTTGTATGCCTAAGAAGTAGAGGTTAGCGAACCGATGGAACTGTTCGAACAGATTCTTCGGCACAAACGTAAAGATCGTGTATTTCGTGGTTCGGATCCTATTGTCGGCGTACGAGTGGTTAGGGTTGACCTGATTTGGGGCCAACAGGTGATGGTTGGGTCGTATGACACGCTCGGCAACCTCTTTGGCACCGCTTTGGCCACAAAAAGGCCACACATTTGACAACAAAGGCATCGATGGGTGCAGTCGTTGTCCGCAAACACAACACACACTTCATGAACATATGACTCCCGTATGACTCACTGTCCTCTCAATCAATGCATGCATTCGTCCCAAGAATCGAATGTTTTGCCAAAAGTTTGTCTGCATTTGAATGACGCGTCTAAAGCGACAGCCAATCGAATGCCAGCGAAACAGTGCTTTGGGGCGGAGTTTGTGTCGCAGTGTTTGGTAAACAAACAGCTCATCAGTTGACTGTCCACTGGTTTGCAGTGAATTGAATGACAATAAGTGGTAACCATTGATGAGATAATGAGTGCAGACATGAGTGGCCGTGAGTTGAATGGACTGACTGACGGACAGGTCTTTTCGGTGATGTCTTACAGTAGTGTTTAGTCTGTTTTATACAGTCCTGAGCTAGAAGTGTTCACTTTTCCCATTAACAAACAATGTTACTCTTTTTAGTCATTTATAGGCTAAACTTTTGTCATTTAGCCTGTAGTAAACCATATTTTTAATAACATACACTTTTTAACCCATAAATGGCTAAAAAGAGTAACATTGTTTGTTAATGGGAAAAGTGAACACTTCTAGCTCAGGACTGGTTTTATAGATAATGTCTAATGTCTTGTATGTTACCATTCAGTTGATCCACGAGATAATTGACGACATGTGCGCCATATGTGCGCTCAAGACATGCAATTACGTGCCGACCGTTTGGTCCACAGAAGCCCTATTCAACGACTTTGTCGCTCATATGAAGAGACTGTTGTCACAACTCATAGACATCCGAACCAAACATGAGGTACAGAAACGAGTGCTCTTTAAATGTCACTCATTTGTGTCCATTCATTGACTCATTGGTGGTGACAGTCGTTGCAGTCGTTGCCGGAAAGGGTGCAGAAAGTGATGATGGAGTGCATCGAAGTGCGAAGACCTGAAGTGAGGAAAGCCATCATCAATGAGACCATCGCTCAGCACAACCCGACCCTCAAAGACTTCTTCTGGAAACTGAATGTCGTGTTAGACTCGGATAAGATGTGTGACGTTAACCAACCGCTCGTGAATCTGGACTTAGATATCAGTGGCGACACGAATGGCACCAAAACCCAGAGGATTGTGTCCATGGAATTGAATAGAGAAGAGCTGATGAAAGTGATTGAGACCCTCGAGGAAGGGCAGCAGGCGTTGAGGCAATCGTATTGATATCACGCCTTAAATGGTTCCGAGTTTTTCGTTCAAATATTTCATTTATTCTCATATATACTGTAAATTGTGTTTTAATATAAATTCTTACATATAAATCACATTTAAAAATGAGTTAATTATTTATTTAGAAATAAAAGTAAAATCAAAACCGTGTCATAAATTATCTGTCATTTCATTCAAACACGACTTTTTAAGCCCAAAAATACGGTTTTAAATTATTATGAATTACAATATAAACACATTTCCACTCCTAATTCATAACAATTGCATTGGTTTTACATTTGAGATATTTTATATAAAAAATTGTTTACAAAAAATAGTTTTAATAAAAAACAGTCCCACTTTGAGACTATAAGTGGGTCTTAGCGTGGTTTAGGTGCTCTCTGGCGATGATAACCCTCTGGATCTGAGCGGTTCCCTCGTAGATCTGGAAGATCTTGGCGTCTCTCATGAGCTTCTCGACCGGGTATTCGCTGTTAAAGCCGGCGCCGCCGAAGATCTGCACGGCATCCGCGGCCGCCTTATTGGCCACATCGCCGGCCAAACACTTGGCGATCGACGCGTAGTACGTGTTTCTGTTGCCTCTGTCGAACTCCCAGGCGCTCCGGAGGTACGCCATGCGCGAGGTCTCGATGCCGATGGCCATGTCTGCCAGCATGAACTGGACGGCCTGGTGGCCGGCGATGGGAATGCCAAACGTCTTGCGCTCGAAGGCATACTTCGTCGCCTCGTCTAACGCCCGCTGAGCCAACCCGACGGCGCCGGCGGCCACCGGAGGGCGCGTCAGATCGAAGGCTCCCATCGCTATGCGAAAGCCCTTTCCCTCGCCGATCAGCACATTCTTCTTCGGGACGACACAGTTCTCGAATGTAATGCCTCTCGTGTCCGAACACCTCTGCCCTAAATTCCATTCCTTACGGCCGATGACAACGCCGGGAGTGTCCGCCTCCACGATGAAGCCGGTGAACGCCTCACTGGCCTTAGCCTTGGGATCGGGGTTAGTGCGCGCCAAGACGAACATCCAGTTGGCGTAACCGGCGTTCGTGATCCACATCTTCTGCCCGTTGATCACGTAATCTCCGTCTTTGTTCTTCACGGCTTTGGTGGTGACGCCGGCGACGTCACTGCCGGCGCCCGGCTCTGTCACGGCGTAGCAGCACATGACGGGACCGGCCGTACAGCGACCCAAATACTCCTTCTTCTGCTCCTCGTCACCGAACAGTAGGACCGGCGCCTGACCTAAAGCGTTGGCCGTCATCGCCGTCCCGATGCCGGTGCAGCCGTACGCCACCGTCTCGTCGATGAGACAGTGCTCCAGAAGCGACAGCCCCTGTCCGCCGTACGCCTCCGGTATGCTTGTGGTCATGAGACCCAACTCGTGGGCCTTCGCGATGATGTCTTTGGGGTATTCGCCGGTCTCGTCGTGATGTCTAGCTTTCGGTATAATCTCTTCGCGCGTAAACTTTTTGGCCATTTCTAGCATTTGCTTCTGATCTTCGGTCAACTCGAAGGAATAGCCAGAGGAAGGCGCTGAGGATGACTGCGAGGACACGTGTCTCGCGACCGACGGCCCACTTCTGGCCCATTGGGACACCAATTGTCTGATGACAGTCTTGGACGACGTCAACATTATCGCCAACTCTCGCGGTCTGTGAACTGCAAGTGTTGTGCAAATCGGTGTCAAAATGAGTGGAAAAAAGCAATGAATGAAATGAAAACCTTTTACTCGACGACAAACAAGTGTTTGATTTGGTGGTCAATTGAGTGCACCTCCAGGTGTTTGGCTGTCAATGGATTTGTGTGTAAAACGCTATTCACTCTCAAGTCTTGGACTCCAGTTGTGAGTGACGTTTGCGACGATTCATGAGTTTTGTATTATCTGTTGTTTTGAAGGAAAGCTAGAAAACTATTTTGAGTCCGATTTTTGAGTACAAATTTGTGGCATTTTCTTGTCATAAGTAACGGTATGTATTAATCGTGTTTTTAGCAAACCCTACGGCTTTAGCATAGTATTCAATGCTAAGTGTCCGCTATGGGGGCACTCCCCCTCCCCACTTGTTTTAAGTCCAGAATTTAGGGTCTGTCGATATGTGCTGCAAATGAGTTGAGTTATGAATGTGTGGAACTGGAGGTCTAGTATAGCAAATGATTACCTGAATAACCATATATGCGTCCGAAGTGAACATTCCTCCCAGTGTTAGGTAATTATAAATGTATGCAAACAAGAAATAGCTAATCATTGAGAAACTGATGGCCAGTAAGTGTAGTACAGACCACGACCTGAACTCAATGGACACGTGAACTAAATGCTCTAAAATACAGGCACTGAATATTATAGTTCCTAATGAGTGCCACAAACAACACATAAGATTGCAATGAATACAGTGGTATAGTATAGGAATGTATGTGAAAATGAGTACCGAATTCATAGATTCCTATATCGGTGTCGTAATAGAAAAATAACGGCACAAAAAATATAACAATACTCTGATAGGCGGCGTCAAACATATTCACCCAAAATGAGTACTCCGTGTAAACCTATGGGACACACCGTGTGGTTCACGAATACCATAACTGAATATACTGTGTTTTGGGTGCAAAACAATTGCATGACTTACTTGAGATTTACGGCCTCTTCCATACAAGTGAGGCTTTTTTAGGAGAAGCCGCGCCGGACAGTCCCTGTCATATATGCCTAAAATCATGGGTGGAAATGCCGTGAATATGGCGTTCACTATCATAAGGTATAACTGGTCTATCATTACGGCTCCGCTAAAGCCACAGAAGAATTGGAACCAAAAGATCACTAAAACACTGCTCTTTGAGTGTGAGTTCACACATTGAAAGGCAATTAAAAACACGTAAAATTCAATCAAATTATTCAATAATTACTGCATTTTTATAGAAAAAGAAGAGAACTGTTCGCGAGAGTCGATAATAACTCCAATTGCCGTACACTAGGAGTAGGCGCTCGAGGTATNCAATCAAAAACACGTAAAATTCAATCAAATTATTCAATAATTACTGCATTTTTATAGAAAAAGAAGAGAACTGTTCGCGAGAGTCGATAATAACTCCAATTGCCGTACACTAGGAGTAGGCGCTCGAGGTATAGGAATCGGGGCAAAGCGAAGTCACTGGCCATCACTGCCTGAGTGCCCTCTTGGCCTGAAATGCCTGTTATAACAGCCAATCAATTGTAGTATCAGTTTATATAACCGATAAATGCATGTATGGGTCAGACCTACGCCAACATCTGCGGTTTGAATCATAGAGACATCATTTGCGCCGTCACCGATGGCTAGTGTCATGACATTCAGGTTCTCTTTGACGGCGCGAACTACTAACCCCTTTTGCAAGGGAGTGGCCCGACAGCAGAGCACAGAACTGCAGTATTGCGCCAATTCCAAGAAGTAGCCAACGGTTTCGTTTTCAATCACAAACGCCAGGGTCTTCCCGTCCACTACGAGCCCTCTCTTGTGGCGAACATTGGCGTCAATCGTAGAGCTCTCGGTATTTCGGGCGCCCATTAAAAGCCATGACATAATATATGACATCCTTTTAGACATTCGATGCTTCGTTGTCTTAGTGGCCACTCCCTGGGCGTACATTTCCTTCAAATGCTTTTGTAGGACATCTCTGGCCTCTTCCTAACAACCAAAACACCAAATAAAATACAATTCGTAATAAAACACACAACGAATCAAATACTTGTGAATCAATTTTCAAATAAATGATTTGCTGTTTATTGGTAAACAGTCGACACGAATAGGCGATATTGACAGCCGTTTCCAACTTATCTCCCGTCAGAACCCATAAGACAATCCCTGCCGACCGCAGAGCGGCGATCACTTCGGGCACCCGTTCCTGTAGGCTGTCCTCAATACCCGTGGCACCCATTAGTACTAAATTACATTCAATCCGATTGTGTGACTCCAGGAGTAACTGTTCATTATTGTCGAGCGACTGTTCGGCCTTTTGATGCAATACATGCCATTCGCTGTACTCCCGTTCCGTCAGCACTCGTTTAGACATACATAGAGTCCGCAAACCCTTACGACTGTAGGAATTCAACTGTTTTTGCGTGATTTCAATCATGTTATTCATCTGCGGGTCACTAGTTTTGGCCAAACTCTCCAAAATAGCCGAATCAGAGCCCTTACAGAACAGTATTATCTCATTAGTCTTCGGGTGCCGTAAGATAATAGACATCTTTTTTCGCGTCGAATCAAAGTGCAGAATATTCAACACTTTAAACTCAATGAGTCCTTCGCTGGGAAGGGAGAGCACAACCATCTCTGAGTTGCGTTTCAATAGCTTAACGCTGTAACGAAAGGCTGCGATAACTAACGCCACTTCGTCGGGACTCTCGGACTCGTAGATGGGTTTCAGAGGCATAGGCGACGGACTGCGAGACGACGGGACCAGAGTCTTGGTTATGGGAGACGTCAACAGCCCTGACAGCGACAACAGAGCGGCGATCGGTCTCTTAAGACCGGACGGACTCTGAGTGGTCTCCTCTTTGGCCGACTCTTTGTTAATATACTGTCCGCTGGCAGTCATCTGATCCTTATGTGGATATCTCGAGGCGACCGCTGAGTTGCAAACGGCTAACAGAATGAAAAAGTCTTGAATTCGTTGGTTTTGATCCGACAGTTCGTACGAAGAGTTCGGTTGATTTGATTCCTCTTCAGACGGCGGCATCCGTTGACTCATGAGAGACAACTCTTCCTGCAAATAAGGGTTTAGTACAAAGTCTTCGTCGGAATCGTCGTCACCACCGGTGGGACGGACTCTCTCGTGGCTGTAGTCAATGCCACCGATGGAACAGCGCCTAAACACCATGTGATTCTCAGTGAGTGTTCCGGTCTTATCGGAGAATATGAATCTAGAGATGGATTTCAAGTGAAAAAAATCAAAATAAGTTATATTTCTTGTGAAGTGATGTCAACAATACGTACTCTATTTGTCCCAAATCTTCGGTGATGTTGAGCGCACGACAGACCACTTTCTTGCCGTTTGTCTTATCGACAAAACGCGGGTCTTTATGGATGTGAAAGATTTGCCCCAATTTTATCAATTCGATGGTCACGTACAGAGACAGAGGAATGATCACCT